TCCTTGCTAGACTAAAGCGATTGGCAGGCGCTGATAAGGCCATGGAAATGGTGCGGAATGCCCTGAAGAAGGCAAAGCGCGAGAAGAAGCGGACCGCGTCCAAGCAGGCCATCCCACGATCGGCGGAGGTCGCAACCGCTTCAACGGAAGCTCTCACAGAGAGCGTTGCTTCCCCTATCAGTGAGACGTTCAACAACGTGAATAGTGGAGTTTTGCAGGAGCTAGACCGACAGCGTATCTCTCCCCACGAGCGGTTCACTCGGATGCTGACGGCGCTGCCGGAAAACCGGGCTTTGGTGCACGAGCTCTTGATCAACAAGGAGTTCCGGATTGATGAGAAACAATACACCGAGCCACGCAAGCGAATCATGAAACACATGTGTGACATGATGCGCAAGGACGTTGAAGCTGGCCTGGAGACAAACTGGACAGTGGCTATGGCTACGGTGATCCAAGACCGTTTGCTTCGCTCACTGCGGCCAGGGAATTCGCTGCATGTGCTGATCAGCGAGGTGCTTGACCCCAAGTTGGTGGAAAGCCAGTGCAGGGCCGGCGCCTTCTCCTACGACAGCTTCTTCGATTTCATGAATGCTATCCTACCCAAGCTTTGCGCTCCGTACCGTGATCCGGTCGTCAAATCATTTGCCGAGGACATGTCGGGCGACGCCATTGATCGACTTGCCCGACTAATGGGCATCATCGACCTCCTCTCCCTTGACCACACCAACTTCATGATTCAGGTTGCAGCGCCACAACTGATCCAGGAGGCTCCCGGGTATGAGCAGCGGACATTCGAGAAGGGTCTTCAAGAGGGTACTCAGAGCTTGGGGAAGACGCGGCGCTTTTGGCGCACGCACCGCAAGATCATTGCTGATGAGATGCGCAAGCGGGACCCGGAGAACGTGCACGGGGAGCCACGACCGCCAAGTGCCAAGGTCTATGCGCAGGGGATTGTGGATCTGGTGATGAGCAATGCGCCTGTCTCCGAAGAGCTCATCCCGGAGACTTTGGAGCTGGATCGGCAGCGACTTGCGCGATTGCATGCCCGAGCGTTCCGGATCGTTGCCACCGCTTCGATTCTCCTGACAGCCAAGAACCTGCTGAAGCGCGACGTGCGATCTCAATGGAAAGCGGAAGCGGACCGGATCCTGTCCCTGGACTTCAATGAGATCCAGCCCGACCGGGTTCAATCCATCCTGGAATCCACTCACCCGATGCCACCCAATGCCAGTGCGCAGCTGGCCGCAACCATCCGCCGCGTTTTGGTGCCCGTTGCTACTGCCTGCGCCGCCGCCCACACGGAGGGGGAAGGTACCCAGCCATCCGTGGAGATCCAGGTCGAGTCGACCTCGTCCGCGGCCTCGTACACGTCGGATGCCGCCAGCTCTGCAACCGCGACGAGCGGCAGCGGCAACGGGACCTCCGGCTTTGCCGACCCGGTGGCCCGACTGATCCTCTCGCGCCTGCGCGCCCACATCCTGTCGCGGCTCAGCGCGTCCAGCGCCAGCGAACGCGTGCGTGCGACGACGACGGCCAGCCAGAGTCTGGCCGGAGCGGGCATGCCCGAGTTCGTCACGGAGGTGGGGCAGCTGACGGATGAGATGGAGAAGATGCGCGAGGTGGATTGGCTGTGTCATGGGATGGTGTACGAGCGCATTCTGGGCGACGGTAACGCGTGAATGACATAAGATTGTCATTGTCAGGGTCTAGGTTGGTGGGCTTGTCTTGGCTTTGGTCTATCAGGGATACTTCTTCTACTTGTCCAGGTACAGGACTTTGGCACAGACTGTGATTACTTCCTTCGGTGCGAGTTGCTTAATAGTCATGATCCATGTGAACTTGATTCATTCTATATTTCGATATCATGCGTACGGAGTGCTAGTCTATTGTACTATCTCTAAGGTAGAGAATATTGTTTCTAGATGGAGGAAGGAATGATTGTCATATAATCCTCTGTTACGATATTCAATGAAGCAAGAATACTCAACATTTATGTATGAACTTAGTATACAAGAGACTCCTGGTCAACCATAACCAAGAAGCGGGTTGCCGGCGTTTGCAAGGCTCGATAACCCGGAGTCGCCCCATGAGACAAACAGAAGATACTAACCACTGCATATTGTATCGAGAGAGGTTGGACCGATGCAGGCATAAATTTGCTGCTGTGCATTTCGCAAAGCAAAGATTGTGGAGGCGTGCCAGTACTACATAGGGTAACTGAACTGTATCTTCCCGCGGACGACAAACAAAGGGACGATGAATCTGGAATATTAGTGGTGTACTGTATGTACACAGCAGACCACCACCGCTTTTCTTTGTTACTTCATGAAAGGTGCCTTCTCTCTCTCGCGCCGCTGTGAATTGCCGACATCGCGTGCGCGAGAGACTTTTCGGTGACTCGCTACTCGTACACGAGTTGTCATTGCTTGCTCTGGTACAGTACACCTCGCTGTTTGCATACAAACAAAGGAACGGAACTAGACGAGACGCCAGAGATTTCGATTCCATACACAACCTAAAAATGGCGAAGACACCACGGCTATTATCGATGAATTCGCCTTGTTCCGATCCAGTGACTGCTGCCGCCATGAAAACCCTACTTCTCACCATGGGGCCATGCGGTGTACGAGATTGCCACTGTGTCTCGGGCTCGAGCACCTCCAAGCTGGATGGGTTGCCCAGTGCCGTGGCGTGTGACAGATGTTCTCACCTTCTAAGTGATCATGATAGTTATTGTGAGCTCTTGGTGTTCTCTATGGGCGAGCCTTACTGGGTGTGTACTGACGCGAAAAACACCTACACACACTCTAGATCCGCCCGGTTCTTCAGGCCCTGCGAGCCCACGACCTGCACTGGTGACTGAGCCGCTTGGCGAGTTTTGGTTACTCTCTGGATTTTGAGGTCGAGGTCGAAGGCGAGGCCAGGGGAACATGGATAAACCTTTGCACACGCATCGAGTCGCACATCATCATGCGACCCCAGTTCATCGACGAGCTGATCGCCCGGTTGGACCGCTACCATCTGATCCGCGTCAACGGGACGCCGGCGTCGGGCAAGACCTCGATGACGCGGGTGCTGGCCAACGAGTTGCTCGCCCGCTACCCGCAGACCCCCGTATATCTGCTGTGCGGCTGTGAGTGGGACGAACGTGCGGATGGCGGGCGGCTGGGCGCTCTATCTGCAGCAACAGCTGGGGACGCATGGCCATCGGCTCATCACGCATCCCGGCTTCTTGCTGTTGGATGAGGCGCAGCAGACCTACTGGGAAACGCAGCTCTGGACGGACCTGTTCAAGTCCATCACCGGCAGCAGTGCCGTGAAGATCGTGGTGTTCACTTGCTATGGCTCGACCGGCTCCGAGCCCGGGGGTGCGACGACGATGCGAGAGCTCCCCGGGAAGACACCGATGGTCTTTCAACCGCACCAGCAGATCTCGCTCCGGCCGGAGGAGACCGAGGAGACATCCCCGCGCTGGAAGCCGGTGGGCTTGCTGCTCGACGAGACCGAGGCCCACGAGATCTTGGATCGATATGTGCCGAACACCGTGTCTAACGGGGCGAACTTATTGACCAAGGAGTTGAAGCATGGCTTGTTCCTGGTTAGTGGGGGACACGCGGGCTTGCTGGTGTCCCTCGCCGACGCCCTGGAATTGATACCGGTAAGTCTGGCCTTGCGGGACATTGAATTCTTGGGGGGTAACCTTATTGTTTTATGTGTGACAGGAGATCTATGCTCTGATCAGGAAACGCCAGCCACTCGACTGGACGACAGTAAGCCAGGGACTCTTTGGCGACTGCCAAAGAACTGGCCTATCGATCCCCACTGGAGATGGCTACGGAAGCCATTCGCCATTTCGACCCGCACCAGCTGTCGAAAACCGCGCGCACGCTGGAAGATCAATACCAGAAGGAGTTCTACCGCTGTCTCTTCCCGCTCCTCCTCGAGTACCAGATCGCGATGTCGCCGGAGTATCTCATCCAGAACACGGCGGGTCTCCGGAGCGGCAGGATCGACTTCCTGGTCGAGCAGGAGAAGTGGGGATTGGAGCTGATGCGCGACGGCGACCGGATCACACAGCACATGCGACGCTTCGAAGAAGACGGCCCGTACTTTGCGATGATCCGGGACGAGCTGATGGAGGATTACATTGTTTTGAATTTCACCCAGACCCGACCACGCCGGAAGTACCCAGGTAACACCTGACCTTTCTTCCGTTAGGTCCTAAGACAGAGAGTAGTTTTGAGTCTGACGTAGCTTCGCTAGGAGACCGCGGCCACCTGTATCATGCGGTCTTCTCCGAGGACTGCCGCAACGTCCAGGTCCTGGACGCCTCGGATCTGAGTGAAGTCGTTGCTTTTGTGCTGGTAGAGAACGCATCTTTCTTCCGTTAACTAGCCTAGTACTTGGTCTCAGTCCTTGGCTTAGGTCGACTTGGATAGAGGGATGCCTCTCGAGCAGTGTCCCTCGATGTGATTTCATCTGATATGGTTGCATAGTCTCGAGTTGGGCACTCTTGTGGCCTTCTCATCTTGGCTTCCTTTGGCGCTGGGCACAGATAGCAATCATTGATTTCGTTGTCTAGTTGAAAATTGCACAGGTGACTGACCCCATGAGCACCCTGAACAGCAGTCCGACTTACCTGAAGTTCAATTCTTAAAGAAGTTGTGTAGTTACTTACTTTTCCACAATTCCGTCAGAATAACTAAGTAGATAACAGTTGGTCGAAGGAGGCAGGCGGTAAGGGAGGGTAGACTTACCTTGTAACTCCGTATCCGTATACGTACCGTACCGCCTCCGCCCGCCGCCCTCCGCCCGCCTCCCCCGCCGCCGCCGCCGTAGCAATCGGCAGATTTCCAGCTTAGCTTTCAGACATTGAAGTCTACACAACCCCTCCACCACGACAACCTCCAATCCGAACAAACCCTACCTACTTTATACCCCAACACAAGGGTCAAAAGCAAAACCAAAATGCCCAACCCACCAACCCCGCCCCCTACACGCTCACGCCGCTCTCGACGCTGGACCCCCCCTCGCAAGAGCGCACCTGGCAGACGGCCCCGCACCCGCGCCTCCCCATCGTCGCGACCTGCAGCGCCGACAAGACCATCCGGATCTACTCGCTCACCAACTTCCGGTTGTTGTCGACCATCACCGGCGGGCACAAGCGCAGCGTGCGCACCGCGGCGTGGAAGCCCCACGTGACGGGGGAGAGCGTGCTGGCCAGCGGCTCGTTCGATGCGACGGCGGGGATCTGGCGGCGGTGGGATAACTACACCTCCTCCCGAATTCAAACGCAATCACAGGGGAATGAGGATGGGGACGCAGCGTGGGGAACATCCACCTCCAACCCCGACCCATCCGAAGATATCCCCGAGGCAAACGACGAGGACGACGAAGAATGGCGCTTCGCCGTGCTACTGGATGGCCACGACAGCGAAGTCAAATCGGTGGCGTGGTCGGCCTCCGGGATGCTGCTGGCGACCTGCTCGCGCGACAAATCCATCTGGATCTGGGAGGACCTGGACGACGGGGACAACAACTTCGAGACCGTGGCAGTGATGCAGGAGCACGAGGGCGACGTCAAGTGCGTGGCGTGGCACCCCGCCGAGGAGTGTCTGGTCAGTGGCAGCTACGATGATACCATCCGCGTGTGGCGCGAGGATCTGGACGATTGGGGCCAGGTCGCTTGTTTGCGGGGCCATGCGGGCACGGTCTGGGGGGTGGAGTTTGAGGGTCTTGCGCTGGGGGTGTCTTCCCCGTCCGGGGAGGGTGAAGAGGAGGCGAGGGCGTTGTCTGGGCCGAGGATCATCTCGTGCTCGGATGATCGCTCGGTCAGGGTGTGGAGGAGGCAGCCCAAGTCGGGCATGACGACGGAGTTGGGTGCCGGCAATATGCCCAGTATTATTCGGCCGACGGGGTTGGATGAGATCTGGGAGGAGGAGGCGGTGTTGCCCTTGGTGCATGATTTGGCCGTGTATTCGGTGGCGTGGAGTCGGAGGACTGGGTTGGTTGCTTCGGTTGGCGCGGATGGGAGGGTCGTGATTTATGAGGAGAGGCGGGTTGATGATGCACAGGTTAGGGAGGATCCCAAGGTTTCGCTGTCGCTGCTCCCCCCGACGGAGTGGGTGGTCGTTGCAGTCCTCAACGGCGCGCATGGCATCTACGAGATCAATCATGTGGCGTGGGCGAAGCGGGCGGATCGGGGTCGCGATCCCTCTAAGGAGGAGGAGGTGCTCATCACGACGGCTGATGATGGCAGTGTCAAGGTGTGGACGGTGCAGCAGTGATGGGTGCATGTGTTATAGGTTATAATTATAGACTTTCGATATAGAGAAAAGTCAATGCTCAAAGCATTCATCCTCCCAGCCATACAGCTCACCGCAAAAGCACGAAAGAACAATTCTAAGCTCCAATACATAAACTCCAGTATGTCCACAAAGAACCCATGATCAGCTTTGAAACAAACACCAAAAAGGTTCAATCAAGTAACAAGGAATCATAAATGATCACCTCCCCGCGCCGCCGATTGTTGGCCATGTTCGCCCCGCTCCTCCTCGTCACTGTCCTCGCCCACCGAATAATGCTCCCGGTCCAGACCCGGCGAGTGCAGGTCATCCAATTCCGACTCGTCAAAGTCGCCCGCCTCGACATCGCCGCCCGTGCGCTTGTTCTGGAACCGCTCCAGCACCGAGCTGCTGCTGCTCATGTTCTTCTGCATCACGCCCCGGTAGCCGTGGTGTCGCTGGCGGCTGCGCCAGATGAAGAACCCCCACACGATCACCCCGATGATCACCACCACGAGGACGGCCTCGCCGGACTTGGCATACGCCTTCCACTCCGTCTCCTTGAGGCGCTGCTTCTCCTGCTCCTCGGCCGCGGTGCTGTTGGGGTGGCCGCCCACCGAGGTCTGCGGCAGCTTCTCGCCGTCGATGCGCGAATCCGTCGGGTTGCCGCCGATGCTGGCGATGTCCACGTTCATGAACCGGTCCAGCATGTCCCGCGTCTGCCGGGGCAGGTCGTACGGCACCATGTGGCTGGAGTTGTAGATCAGCACGTAGGTCAGGTTGCGCGCGTATTGATAGATGCCCGTCGGCTCGCCCTCGAAGGTCCAGTCGTGTCGGGGCGCCCACACACCCGGCGAGGTTTCGAACCCCGTACCGCCGCCCCATTTCAGGTTGTTGATCAGTTGCTCGGTGCCGACGTGGTTGCAGATTAAGTCCTTCTCGCCGCTGAACAGGAGAATCTCCACGCCGGATTCCAGGAGCTCGGGCAGGAGTCGGACGGATGGCACGGATCTCTGAGGGTTGAAATTGCTGCTGACCGCGCCGGAACACTCGGTCCAGCCTGACTTCTTCGCTGGGTCGATGTGCAGAGCTGCCACCACGTCCTCCCGCTGTAGATATGGCTTCACATCCACCAAGTCTGTCGGCCAATTCATTCCGCAGGCGTCTAAGCTGTCGCGCAAACGGATGTCATACATGTTGTAGCACTGGTTGTTGACAATCGTCTTGTCCAAAATGCCATTCAGAATCTTCTCGCAGTCGTTGACGTGGATTCTGTTCTTGCCCGCTTCCAATCGTGACTGGCAGACGGACTGCAGCACTTCGAGTTCCTTGGCCGCCGAGCTGCCTTCCTCGATGAGCCCCTCTTCGTAGGCGAACGGCAGGTAGGACATGTACTGTTCCTCGGGGGCGATCCACCCGTTGCCGATAAGAAGACCCTTTAGCTGCCACTGCGCGGTGTTGGAGTTGGAGACCTTCTTGTTCCGTTCTTGCATGGCCTTCGCGATATAGGGGATATGTTGTCCGGCGTAGGACTCGCCCGCAAGGTAGATCTATCCACTGTAAGAAACGCAACTCCTCAACAAGGTGAGACCAGGGAACATACATCATCGCTCTCGTACTCCGGAAACAGCTTGAACCACTCCTCCAAGAACACCACAAACTGCGCCGCCATCGTGTCGAGCTCGTGAATATAGCTGTCAGTGTTGACGTAGCTGAAGCCCGTTCCGACCGGATTATCGACAAAAAGCAGATTGGCGAACTCGTCCCAGGAGCCCTCATTGTATTCGAGGGTGTGGTTGTCCTTCAGTCGATACGGGCCAATCTCCATCAGCGCTCCGTCCATCGAGGAACACCCAGGCCCGCCATTCAGCCACACCACGGTGCGTTGGCGATTGGCGATGTGCCGATTCTGATAGTGCCAGAAGAAGAGATGTCCATTGCTCTGGGCGTCGACTTCAACGTGCCTAAGCCGGAGAGAGATAGGGGTTTAGTTTTAGTTGATTGAATGCGACAAACAATAGAGCAGAGTAGCTCACCCAGCGTGCATTTTCAGCAGCGGACCATCCGGTGCACCCGGAAGAGAATGGATATAGTAGTCAGCCGCCGACTTGGCCGAGACAACGGCGGGACTCAGTAGAAGGAGCGTCGACAGTGCCCATGTCGACATCTTGGTGAGGGAGATGCCCCCGCGGGACGATAAGGGGAACATTTCGGGAACTGTGATAAGGTGCAGGGTGGAAGGGGGTGTTCCAACAAAGAAAGTGTTGACGGGTCGTCGCAAGGATGGATTGAATGGGTCCCGAGTGGACTCGTGTGAGCGCTCAAGGACTCATCGATCAAAGTGTCCAGTTCCGGCGCGTGCTGACTGAGACCGAATCTCTCCCCGGTCGAGGCGGAGCTCCGGAGATAAAGGGAGGTGGTGGTGACTGGCGATGGTGACGGAGGTGATCACACAGAGAAAGAGTGTGGACGAATGGACGGGAAGCTGTCAAGCACCCTTCCCACAGCGATGATTTGGAAGAGGCAGGAGAGCCGGATAACACCAAGGGAAGAGGTGGAAGGTAATAGACGAGACGAGGAGGAAGATGGAGGAGAGATGGAGGAAGTCCAAAGCGGCTGAGACGGAGACGGAGACGAATGGATGGCGTGGCTTGAACGGGCGGGTATCGTCCGTATCGTTACTTACGGGACTTACTCTTACCACTTTGGGGTCTCTATAGACCAGCTGCTGCCTTACACTCTTCCACATAGGATGATCTTATGTGAGAAATTTCAGAGTAATAATTATCATTCGGGCCCTCAATAAAGAGTATTGTATTGTCCATCGTAGATGTTGACTACCGTTGACAATCTGAGTTGCATTCGCCCGATTCATCCATCGCGATGACACTTGGTACAGTACACTCCAGGATTAATGCAGACCTATCCAGCATCGCTCAAGCGTTTTCATTTCAAGCTGGATGGATTTGTTTGTCCCTGTGCCTTCATTGAGAGCTACAATCTCTTCGGCCGATCTCCCACTCGACTCAGATGAGATCATCAATACCCTGATCGGCGTCTTTCTTGATCAAGTCCACCATGCCCTGAGAATGTTAGTTGCGGCGCAGTCAAGGCATGATGAGAAAGAAGCAAGCTCACCGGAGGCATGATGGGTTGTCCATCCTTGTCCACAACATAGCGAAAGGGCATCTCGGTCCGTTCGTGCTCGTTGATAAGGATCTCGGGGTGGTCAACGTATTTGATCTCCTCCAATGGAACTGCGTAAATGTCAGTCTTCATTTTTGCCATGCAAACTCGCAGTCGAGGACTGACTCTTATCGTGCACAACTAGGCGAGTGACGCGCACAGCTGTATCTGTGGTCATTTGCACAGGTCCTAGTCTACGGCCAGCATAGCCCTTCTTTCTCAACTCCGAGGTGCGATCTGCTTCGGGTCAGTATCATGATGAATCTGCTTAACATCCAAGGCAACATACCGCGAGGTGGGTCATCGCCTAGTGACCGAACAAGAGAATCCTTTGAGTCAGCCAGCAGAACAATGGATTGAGTCAATCTCCGGAGAAGACCCGAAAGACTGGAAAAAAGGCGTCTCACCCAGGATACCACCGAAGAGGAAGACATCGAACGTCTCTGCATCAGCGGGGCTCAACTCAACCTTGGCGGAAGGGTCCAACAGGCAGACCCGAGACTTGCGGTCCGCAAAAATCTCCTCCACACTGCGGTGCTCGACGTTGAGGCCTGGGGTGGCCGCCAGATCCTCCGGCATCTGCAGGGAGGTGGGCACAGAGCTGAGCAGAAATCTGCTCCCCGAGGCATGCGCTTCACGGGCAATGCAGCCATACTCCAGAGCGGACCAAGCGCCCAATTCGGGGTCCAGATGCTCGACCACGATGGTCACAGGACCCGAGGAGGAGGTTTGATCACTCATGTTGGTCCAAATGGAAGCGTCCAAGTCGGTCTGGCCCGCGGACAATGAGCGTGATGTCGGTTATAGTAAGTGTGGGGTTCAGGAACCTCTTGTGACACCGTGCAGACTCGGATTCGCCGGTTCTTAAGACCCAAAATTAGCCTAGAGCCAAGGGATGGGAAGCCTGCAGCTATTACCAATTGATTTAAGGGTGGTAAACGGCGCGAAAAGGCTGGATGGTGAGCAATATCAGATTGTGGAGGGGCAGGAGGAAAAAAAAGCAGAATTCATCATAGAGTCGGATACAGATCGATACGGCCGATTGCATACACTGACTGAGGTTTCCTCTTCAATTCAACCGTCGGTCGAAGTTGAGCAACCCGGGGACACTGCAATGAACATTTCATCAAATGAACATTGGAGGACTATTCATTCTACTAGTTCGTTAGGTTCCAGTTTACTATTCTCTTTTTGCGCCCTTTGTGCCTAACGGGGCAGCAAGATGAGTCGAGTATACTGTCCCTGCATTTGAAAGCACCGTCTAGGCTAGCATATCCTTAGTGTCAATTCATTAAGGGCACGCTCATCACTTGCTTTGTATTTGAGACACATTGCATCTTATTTTAAGCATCTCATACCTATTTCACCCCCTGGTCCTCAGCATGCAGCAAATTATCGAACGACGAGTGCCTGATCTTCCCTGATAATGAGGCGTTGGTCAGATCGAGTGAAACAAATACTGTATTGTTCGGTCACCATTCGAGGTGGAGGCAGTCTGCAGCTCCATGCCGCTAGGCTGAATGCAGACTCCTTCTTGCTCAGATCATTGGATCCTCGTCCCTAAGAGGATTAGTGGGTAGGAAGTGGTGGAACACGGGGGCTGATTACAGGGCGGTCACCGCCCGATGTCGTAGGCTCTCCGCCAGCCGATGACCATACCATTACCCGTTCATACCGACTGATACCAATAGACTTATTCCATAGTCCATTCTCTCTCTCTCTCTCTCTCCCTCCATATTTCCTTCTTCTCTTCCCCTCACCTTCAAACGCTTATCCTCCAAACACTCTCCTGTTCCTATTTACTTTCATTCCTTTTAATTCAAGATCTCTTCATCCGTTTCCTTTTCAGGACTAACTATCTCACATCTCATCTCCTGCAGCCTGTGCAGAGGAAGCTGTGATCTATACCTTTACTTGCCTACCTACATACTACTTACAGTTTGCTCCCCGCTGGAGGTGGTGGGGTTTCCTGACGACACTCCCAATACTAAATACCCGCACCACTCAATCACTCACTCACTCCCTCCATCTCCGTTGTCCACCTCAACTCACCTCAACCTCAATCCATATTAACTCCACCCCCCCTCCCCCCCTCGTCTGCACCTTCTTCCTTCGCTTCCTCTCCTTTCTCCCAACCTACTTTTATTCTTCCATTTTTTGTTTCATCTGTTCTACAATCAACCGAATCAAAACCACAATCATTCACAATGAATCCCCATCAGCAGAATAAGATCGATACCAGCGTACGCTCTCCGCCCAGATTTATCTTGGGTCATCGCGATTCATTCCCCGTCAGGCTGCAACTAACAATCATCTCTTCTCAAGTCGCTGAGCCCCGATGAGCAGCGCCTGCTTCGTCTCTACGGCAAGATGCCCAACAAGAAGGATCTTTTGCAGAACAAGCTGAAGGTATGCTCGTCTCAACACGCCCGACTCAACTACTCCCCATGGCTGACTCTCATATCTTACGCCCTACAGGAGCGGAAATACTTCGACTCAGGCGATTACGCCCTCAGCAAAGCCGGCAAGGCCTCAGACGTCGGCGTCACCAACATCGGCTCCCAACACCCCGTTCCCGAGAACATCCCTCACCTAACTGCCACCTCCCCCGGCGCCAACAACCCCGCCGCTGCCGGCAATGGGGGCAGCATCAGCGCCCAGGGCGGCCAGCAGATCCCCGGTAGTATCAGCGGCCACCCCGGCTCCATCGGATTCCAGAGCCGCAGCCCCGTCAAGGAGGCCAGCTTCCTGCAACGAGGAACCAGCGTCGATGAGGCCGATGGAAACAACCTCGATGCAGTCGCATCCCAGGATCCCACCGATGCCGGCAGCGTGAGCCCACCTCCGGCTCGAGGGGGTGTTCCCATCCGTCAATAAATGATTCCCCCCCCCCCGGTCCCTTATCATGATCTCATTACTTTCATGTCATCCTTTATTTGGCTACATCTCTTCCTTCGTATATCTTTTGTTGGTTCCGTCCCGGTGGTCGGTGGTATTTAAAAGAGTGTTCTGGCGCCATGGATTCCCACGTCACGTTGTTTCTTGACATTTTGATGTATTTACGACCTCATCCTTATCATTGATCATTGTTTCCCTTTCTCTTATCTTTTGCCTTTCGGATGGATTTTGCCTGACACAAAGTGAAAACAAAGTGGAAGGTTGAGCAACCAGGCTGAAGTGACTGCATGCTATAGCACTCGCCCACCGATCTGTGGCAAAGACGAGCTGACCAGTTTCGGGTGGGATCCTCTCCGTTGTCGATCATAGCCTGCTTCAGCAACTCTCTGCGTCCACAGTATGAGTATCCAGCATGCTCGCGCTAAGTGGAATGTCTCAATCATCACGAAATGACGCATTCAGTCTTCCTGTTCTCTCTTTCAGTTCGTTGTATATGTTGGAAGATCATTCCGGGTACGAAGTGTCTGCCTCGTGTCTCCGTTTCGACCTCATAAGCACGAAATATTCTATGCCTTTAGCTTGCGGTCAAGAACCAGGAACGCGTCGTATCTGATGCGTGTGTGTTTGCCGTGATTTGATGCCTCTATTCTTCTCCTTGAAGGGGTGTTTAGATCCGGCCCCGACAACAGTTCAGTGGGTGACTAAATTGAACTTGCCTTTGTGGATAGTACGGGTTTGGGCCATTGACCACCTACCTCTTTACTCACCTTCGGTTTGTTTGTCGTTATAGCCGCGTTCCAGTTTCTGGCGTCTCGCCATCCTAAATTGTACTCGTTGGCTGTGTACTTCCCGTACTCCTCACTAACCACTCCCAAATCCCGGAAGTGCGGTTTTGGGAGATACTTCGTATATGCTACTTGTACTGCAGAAAGGAAAGAGACGAAACAGTCACTTTTCTCATAGATTTCAAGTCTGATTTGCGACGGAGCTTGAAAAACCGCTAAATATGGTACTCGAGCTCAGCATGAGCATGAAAGGAACAAGATATGGGAATGAAAAAGATGTCGCTACAGAGGCGAAGTGAAAAAAAGAAAAAAAAAGGTCAAAAAAGAAGGAAAAGAAAAAGAGAAAAAAAAAACCTAGTCACCGTGAACAGCAAGTGGGGGTATAAGATTCTCCATCTAGTGCAAACAGTTTTCAAGAATCAAAAACTATCAAAAGCTAAGAAAGATAAGGAAGGGTAAGTCGAAGAGCTTTGATGAGCAAACAGGAAAAAAGAAAATGAAAAAAACCACAGGAAGTAGTGTAGCAGAAAGGCGCTAGACTGGGAAGAATGGGTATAATAGCAATAATCGGAGATGGGATCATGAGAGATGTGGATAGGCCAAAGATAAGGATGGAGCGAGGCGTATCGGAGGGGGCAAAGTGCGGAAGGAACAGAGGAGGCGGTAGGGAGCGGGTACGGCCCAGGGAATCTGTTGGGTGGGGTGGTTGGCATCGTCCGAACCGCGCGGTGTACATGAACTGGACCGCCCCCTGGTATATGGAAACCTAGTGGTGGGTCCTAAATCATGCTGGAACTGTGTTGTTAATTGCGACGTCCCCGGGGACAGTGTCCGTCCTTCCATGACGAGCACCATTCGTGGGGTGGCTAAGGAATAATGTAATGCCTTGCAGGGTGAGAGGAAACGCAAGGCGCAAGGATGACTGATAGGCATGTGAAGTCGCGGGCACGCTTCATAGCTGCTTCTGCGAGATGGCTCTTGGTATTCCTCCAATCCGGCTATCATGCGGCTAACAAAGCGAGGTGCGTTCGATGGCGTTGCTGGCCTAGGGCAGCCAGCATAGCGAACACACCCCAGCTGGATGGTATGCGTAAATGAACATCGGTGGCAGCCTGGCTTAGGGACGAATCAAGGACGCTGCGAGTGTCTACCACGAGTCTCCGCATGGTTGATAAATTTGCCGTGAAACTGCGATTCGTCGCGTACCGTTCAGTCGGTCTTCCAGTGACCAGCCAAGCCGGTATCTAGATCATCGTTCTCGCCGAGGTAGAGCTCAACAGCGTACAAGCCCATCGTGCAGGCAAGGTTGATCCAGCGCCAGAGGTTGCCGCCGCCACCGCCTTGGCTGCTCCACCATTCACCACTGCCACCCATTGCTTGAGATGTCAGAGCGAAATGCTGCATCAGAAGGCTGGTGTACACGGCGATGAGAATCGAGGGGGAGAAGTAGCTGAGGAAACCGAGGAATTGACCGGCGGCATCGGAGTCGTCCAACGAGGCTTCCTGCGACAAGGCGCGAGCGCCAGACTCGCGAACTGCGGGGATGATTCGAGTGGACGCGTACAGCACCAGGATCCGGTAGGTGAGCGAGACTAACACGGAGGGAGTCACGGCGCCAAAGACTGCGGTGATAACATTGAACAGGGCGTGGATGATTGAAGGCAGGGTGGACAATGCATGCATCAGAGTGGTGTACGACTCCATGATGATCGGTGGTAGCGGCGGGAAATCCCCAGCTTGAGCAGGAGAGGGCGCTTGTTCCAGAGGGTGAGAGGGTTTGTAGTCTGTGAAGATCTGGTAGAGGCAGAGCACAATGTAGGCAAATAGCAAGGAACTCTCCACTGGATTTCCCCGGCCGCTACCGATACCCCAGGCGCACAAGATCACCGCGCATGTTATGGAGACACCAATTAGAGCCGCATCCACATTGGAGATTTCCGGGAACTGCATAACACGCCATAAGAAATACACGGAGCTGGATATGATTGAGGCGGATAAAACCAGGAGACCAATCTGGCGGACCATGATTAGCATTTTATCGTTGCATGCATCAAGCACTTCAGAGTGACGTGTACGTACCATCCAACTATCACTGCGCCCGCCCCGGTTCACAAGCCACCGAGTGATTTGCCCTGCAGCTTGTATGACGAGTAAACTGCAGAAACCCTCCACTAGCTGGAATACCGGTGTCGACCATCTCAAGAGTTTATCCCAGTTGCCAATCGTCACCGATTCCACCAAACCATCCGGCCCAAACACCCACTCCTGAATGGAGGAGTCGTGGGCCCTCTTGCCGGTGAAGGTCCGTTCCACCCATGAAGCCGCGTTGTCATTATCGATAGAGAAGCGGTTGAGCGACCAGATAAGCAGGATCGGGATTATAAGCCACTGCGTAGAGCTGATGATGACGACCAGGGAGGAGCGGATCCAGGACCGATCGGGGGTGGAAAGTCGCAGGAGTGAGAACAGAAAGTAAAAGGTCGCGAGGGAAAGCGAATAGGCCAGACCGCATGTCTTTCCACCCACATCAAACGCGAGAGGGATGGATGCGACCGTGACGGTCAGGAAGAGTCCCGACGAGATGGCGCGGAAGAGCCACATCGGACAAGACGACAAGAAGGGGGAACGAGATGAAGAAAAGGCAGAAAGAGGGTAAAGAAGAGGGGAGAGAGGGGTGTAGACGCGCTCTTTTCGACAGATGGTCTCAAGGTAGGAGATTTGGTAGACAACACGGACGGGGAGGAGGGAGGGGAGTCTTTAGTAAGAATACATGAAGGCTGGTTGACTGCGTGCCGTCCTTTGTCTTGCTGGTCTGCCTGTTCGACTTTTCTTGAATCTCGCTGGAAGAGCGAGTGGTATGAATCTCGTCACTGTCTTTTGAACTGAATTTTCAAATTTTTTTTTCCTCTTTTCGTTTTCAGTGCAGAAGTCTTTTGAAAAACGATCTTATCTCCCAAGCGGGACGGAATGATGGATGGATCGAATTCACGTGGCACGTGCTGATGGACGAATGAAACTCCTGGTCAAACAATCCACTTACGTACTGAAGCACCAAAGCTTAACGGCTGCAATGCAATGAATCGGGCAGGATGAGATAAAGGCGAGGAGAAGGATACAGGATGAGGAAAAGGGAAAAAAGGGGGGGACTGACAGGCAGCCCAGCAACAGCAACCGCAACGAGCAAACGTAAGAATTGCTCGCAATTTGGCGGTTTAGCGTATCCGACCCAGCTTCAACTGGCAGGCGGTGGCGTCCAAGCGGATGCAAGTAGCGGTCAGTTGGTGGAAAGATCGGCTGTATATGATCTCATCTCCAGAAGATTATCACCCAGTACTGATGTAGAAGGTGATTGAGCGTTCGCCAGGGGATCCTGTGATTGCGCCAAAATGCAGCTGGACGTCAACAATCCCGACATTAAGGTTCCAATGGAGCCTGGAGAGAGGGGAAGGATGTGGAATCGACGTAATTATGCCTGTCAGATAAAGACACCATCGACAAACCGTATTACAGAATGTGCAAGCCTCAGGCTGCAATCACATGCTAGGCTTTTAGGTGCTTAGCCCTAAGTACTCGTCCAATCTGGTTAGCGTGATGGAGCTGCCACTTCGACGCTTTCCCTTTAGAGAAATCAGCGCCCTGCTCCTTCCGGCCAATAGGAACTCACTGATACTAACTAAACTCGATACGAAGACCTCAGGCAGGCTTCCAGAAGCACAGGCTCTATCGGCAATCATAGACAAGAACTTCTTCATTCTTACCACGTTATTTCTTCCTTCTGGTGTATGCTTCGATTCCGTTCCTTATTCACAATGGCTGAAGAAACCATCACGAAGAAGATCAAGACTTCTTCCCCCTTGATCGGAACCCACAAGTAAGTTCTCGGTTCTCATCTCAATCCCACATTCCACCTACTGCAATGGCCCCGTTAAGTTAATTCCTGCTCGTCCCAGCGGCCACTTCCACGCCGACGAAGCTCTTGCTGTCTACCTTCTCCGTCTCCTCCCTACCTACAGCGCCTCCCCCCTCGTACGAACTCGTGACCCCGCCCAACTGGCCACATGCCACACCGTCGTCGATGTGGGCGGCGAGTACGACCCCTCCAGCAACCGCTATGATCACCACCAGCGCACCTTCGCGACCACCTTTCCGGCGCACGAGACCAAGCTCTCGTCCGCCGGTCTGGTCTACATGCACTTTGGTCGGGCCATCATCGCGCAACACACGTCTCTGCCCGAGGACCACGAGGATGTGACACTGCTGTACGAGAAGCTGTACAACGACTTCATCGAGGCGATCGACGCGAACGACAATGGGGTCTCGGTCTACGACCCGGCGGGCATCTCGGCCGCGGGCCTGCAGAAGCGCTTCCGGGACGGCGGCGTGACGCTGGCCTCGGTCGTCGGCGACATGAACCACCCGGACCCCACGAGCCCGCCGGGCGAGCCCCAGGACGAAGACAGCCTGTTCGGCCGCGCTAGCACCTTCATCGGCAACGTCTTCACCCGCAAGCTGCACCACGCCGCCGCCTCCTGGCTCCCGGCCCGCACCACCGTCGGCGCCGCGTACCGCTCCCGCCGCGACGTCCACCCCTCCGGCCGCATCATCGTCCTGCCCCAGGGCGGCGTGCCCTGGAAGGAGCACCTGTACACCTTCGAGCAGCAGGAGGGCGCCTCCGGCAGCGAGCAGACCTACTACGTTCTGTACCCGGAGGGCGCCACCGAGGGCTCCAAGTGGCGCGTGCAGTGCGTCTCCGAGAGCGAAGGCAGCTTCGTCTCGCGCAAGCCCTTGCCCGAGTCGTGGCGCGGGGTCCGTGACTCTGACCTCGATGCCGTCATGGCCGCCGAGGCGGATAAGTCCGGCCAGCCGCGCATCCCCGAGGGCGCGGTCTTTGTCCACGCCAGTGGTTTCATCGGTGGCCACAAGACCAAGGAGGGTGCTCTGGCCATGGCCGTCCGGGGTTTGGAGCTATAGATCGGGGGTGTTGCATGACTTTTGCTTATCTAACGAACAGTTGGTCTGGGTATTCATGAGGCATATAAAAGTTAGAGATTCATTCTATCACTATTTCCTATAATTCGCACCATGCAAGGGTGTCCAGTTTACCCTGCTTAGCATCTGATAGCAACCCTGCTAGGGTAGACCTCTTCATCCTCTCAAGTCTCTCAAGCGACTTCACAATGACCTGCACTGTTGAGGCCGGCAACCACAATGAGAGTTGCTACTGCCATCGGCATCAAGATTGTAAAAGGGGCAGAACAGATGATCGATATCAGTATTAGCGTTAGGCATGTATCTATACTTACTACTTCGTCTATATAGGTTGATCACCGGGGGTACTGGAATTAATGCCGGTGTCAGTAGCATTTCCCAACCACTTGTACCCCCGGTCTGGGTCTCCTCGAGAGTCAATAGGACACCTCGAAAAGCATAACTCAGGATGTCATGCCCTGAGGGCTGTGGCAGGATAAACCTGTGACCGAGCAAGTCTGATAACCGTGTACCTTAGGTGCGCAGCCACTTGGGAATGGACCACGGTGATGGTTCAGTGTAAAAGGGAAGCCCTACCTGCTTCGATACGGGCTTGCGAAGGAGGTAGCTGGAAATGATCTCGATATGAGCCTCACCCCGGTGTAGTGCAGATGTACGCAGACTCTATGATCGCTATGATTATGGGTCATTCGATGCAAGAATGCAGCTCCAGCGACACATGCGTGCCGAGTTCGCACTCATCTGCAATACGCGCCAGGAACAGTCAAGCAGATTCGAAATATTTGTTGATCGATGCGTCTGACCGCATAGCTTCAGGGACGAACCGCTTGAACAGGCCACTCCATAAAGTTAGTGAGCTGCACGTCTCCCAGGCCACGGAGGAGTTCATTGATCTTGAAGATCTCGCCCTCGAAGGATTGATGCAGGAACCAGGTGTCGATCAGGGTGTTGAGAACGTAGAAACGAGCGAGGATTACCATAGCATACCGCTAGATCGAGCTCTCTTGATTGATATTCTCGAGTATGGGGATGAAGTCGCCGGGGATGAAGTCGCCGGGGATCTCCATCGGCCAACGTGACTTGGTGTGGCGTGCGCGGTGTCGCTTTCGCAGTCGGGCCAAGTTCTCGCTCGCTGCGACTTGTTCGCCGAAAGCTGAGACTTCGCTGCCATCCTCATCCGCGAGCTAACTCGTCATGCTTCCTTGATTTACGCGAGACAAGAGGATCAGAGTGATTGAGTGATCAAGAGCTGGCCATTTGGAGAAGATATGAGGCTAAAGAACAGCGCCGGTGAAAGCAAGATGGGTGAAACGAAGGTAGGATGCGAAAAGAAGAAGTGGTGCTGTGCTGTGCTGTGCTGTGCTGTGCTGAGTGAGCGAAATGAGTAACTAAAGGCCCAGTTCCTCCTCTTTCCGACTTCAGGTATTACAAGAGCAGATCAATTATTTGCCCCTGACCCAATTCTCGTATCCGGTCCTTCTCAGCGCCCATTTCTCACTGGGCTTCATAATTCGTTTTCGAAGTGACACGAGGGGGTTTTGCTTCTATCTCATCGACAGGCTAGATATGACCTCACGACACCAAATCCCAATAATACCTGCTTAGTCACGCACTCAGGCGCTTCAACTACTGCATAAACGAGATGTTACAGTATGTGGTGAGCACAACTTGAACCCACAAATCTCCCCTGCGTCGAGGATCTATAGTCACTCAATTGTTCTGGCAATTCCTGCAATTCTACGAGAACGATAACATGTGCATAATATCAAGTCCGTATACGAGGGTAATAGTTATTGTCTCACATTTCCACTTGACTAGGGTAATCAGATATGATCACCTCCGATAACGAGCCGGACCTTCGTGATCCAGGTCGACAATATCACGACCTTGGAACTCGCACTGCGACACAGGCTTATCCACATTACCAGGATCACCAAGCCAGGCCACAGCGCACAGGAACTCCGTCATAATATTGTACACATCTGCTGCCCTAAGCTGAGCATCGTCGTACTTCACAGTCAGCCGCATCCGATCACCCTCCATCATACCCGGTAGCCAGAAAAGGCCAAAGTCAGATCGAGAAATGTTTTCGATCAACTTGATAGGATCGGACGCGTGTTCTTTATATCCCTCCATCCTCCAGTTGAGGCTTTGGCGGAAGAGGATGTCGAGGAAGGATTTTGCGTCTGTTTCATCCAGCTTCCGGCATATCTCGTCCATGGGAGCATATGTATTAGAAACAATATCGTCTTGGTCCTTGCTCATCCTGGTCAGAAGCTGGATTGCCGTTTCGTCTGGTGCGATAGTTGTGCGGCTGAGACATTGGACGATTGTAGGCCCGTCGACTTCTAGAATATCGATACCTCTATTCTCGGGGCGACTGTCATCCGCAGAGGGCCAGGTTCTGCCCGATTCAACGAGGCCGAAGATTGCCTCTTTGGCTCCGGTCATGCGCACGTTGATCAACGCGCAGGCGCATCTCGCGATGATCGGGGGTGTTATCGCGAACCTGCGTTGTAATTCCGAGATATTGGGCACATGCACGGCACGAGTGATACCTCTGGTTCCGATGCTTTTGTCTCCATCCAGAAGGGGTCGCTCGCTGGGATGGC